TAAGCTTTGCTTCTCCGCCTTCCTGCTCCTTCCTAATAATTCAGAAACTTATGACAGACACCAAAGTGGGATGAGTTTGTTTTTTCTCCAGTGCCAGGGATTGAACCCAGGGCTTTGCATATGCTAGATAGGGCTCTATCACTGAGCCTCACCCCCAGGCCCTGGGATGAATCTTATTATTTATTTATTTTGGTGCCGGGGATTGACCCCGGGTACTTAACCACTGAACCATATCCCCTAGCCCCTTTTTGTATTTTATTTAGAGACAGGGTCTCAATGAGTTATTTAGGGCCTCATTAAGATAGTGAGGTTGGCTTTGAACTTGTGATCCTCCTCCTCAGCCTCCATGCACCGCCATGCGGGAGGGCAACCAGAATCACTTGAGGGGCAATAGAGGTTTTTTCCCATAGACCCCAGGCAGCATATGTTTCTCAGAGGAGAGTGAGACCTAAGTAGCTACATGTTGGAAGGAGCCAGGATGAGCTATGAGATTCCAAGGCACACCAGCACGTGCTCCCTTGTGATCCCACTGCACTCTTGCTGTGGAAGCCTCTGTCATGTCATGTCACACTTCAGCTGCCTGGAAACCAAAGCCTTGGAAAACACAAGGCTTGAGGCCAATGACTGTCTCCTTAGTTTACAGCATGCTCCACAGCTCATCAGAGAGTATAGGATGGGAGCCTGTGGTATCTGCCCGATCCCTAGACTAGCCAAGTACCTCAGCCATGGATGATTGAACCAGACTTGGCCTGGCCAGTGGCCAAGAGTATGACCTGTGATCAGCCAACAGTGTGCGGTCTTGTGAAGCCTGCAATGCTCCTAGGGTCCTGCTGGGAAGGGGATCTGGGGGACAGAACATTCTAGGCCAACTTGGCTTTCTGGCTAATTCAACTGATAATTGGATGCTATAGCAACCAGGGTAAAAAAAAAAAAAAAAATGCCCAGATAAGAATGGGTTAGTGGAGAATGGGGAAATTAGCCCAGAGTGGCAGTTGGTAAGATTGAGGCACTGTCAGACATCCAGGAGGGGAAGTTAGGATTTAAGGTGGGCACTCAGGACCCCAAAGTCACTAGCAATGCCCCAGGACCTGAGTGCTGAACTCCAGAGACATTTCTGATGAGCCACCTCATGTGTCATGTACATAGAATCATCACCACCAAAATATAGGACCCCTTCTCCCAGAGGTAAGTGTAGAGATAATAGAGGGAAAAGTAATTATTCATGTTCCTCCAACTAGGTTTTCACAATGAAACCTTCATATTTAAAATCTTTGGAGGCCAGGCACAGTGGTGCACATCTGTAATTCCAGCAACTTGGGAAGCTGAAGCAGGAAGTTCAAGGTCAGCTTCATCAATTTATTGACACCATCTCAGAATAAAAAAGTAAAATTAAAAGGGCTGAGGATGAAGCACAGTGGTAGAGTGTCTCTAGGTTCAATCCCCTGTACCACTAAAAAAATAAACAAAATTTTTGGAACCAGTTGTTGCAGTCTGTTGGAAATGGATATAAAGCTAACTTCACATATTCTGTTTTCCTCCTTTATTCACACTTTGTGTATTTTACTGGAATCTTTCCCCATGTGTGTATCTAAGAAAGTGGTGCAAGAAAAAGATGCAAATAATTTCAACAAATGCCAACTTCAAAATCAGCATGAAACATTCTTAGCAAATATGGTCACGGCTTAGGTATCTGTGCCTTTCTAAGTAGATTATAAAGAAAACGGCTTTTCCACACAAGAATAATTTAACCCTACTCAAAAAACCTTTCCCAAATCAATAAATATTGAATACCATTTTTAATTGTTTTCCCAACAGAAGCTAAAATTTCTGCCATAGGTTGAGGACTCAGTGCTGACCTCTGACAAAAGGAACTTTCTGCCTTAAGGCAAGAGTATCTTTAGGGGCTGGGGTTGCGGCTCAGTGGTAGAGCACTTGCCTAGCATGTGTGAGACACTGGGTTTGATTCTCAGTACCACATATAAATAAATCAATCTCCATTGACATCTAAAAAAAATTTTATAGACATTTATATATGAGTATCTTTAACCTGGAGGACAACCTTGGGCCTTAGCTTCTCTCCCTAGAAAGTATGAATTGGACTCCAGGAGTTCTCCACTGGTCACCCCAGTTACTCTTACCATGTGCAGGGTATCATGCTTCAGGCATGACCAGAAATCCCATCTTCAGATGGAAAAAGTGAGGCACAAGGCCAGATAATTCCTCTCATGCACACATGTTGCCCTGCCATGTCTAATGCAGGAATCAGCCCATCTGGGTGGAACCCTGGAATCCACACCCCTCATAGGGCGAAATCCAGTGTGTTGGTGGTTGTCATTGTTTGCAGTGCCAAGATCTGAACCCAGAGCCTTGCAAATGCCAGGCAAGTGCTCTACCACTGAGCTACATCCCCAGTGCCATTATGGTTTTTAGACCCACTGTTCTAGGCATTGAGGGCCTGCTCTGGTGCTGAGTGACAGGAGGAAAGCACACACAAGAATGCAGAGCACCAGAGGTTGGGGCCAACCTCTGATGGCCAAACCAGTTGGACTGTGCACAATGAGAACCCGAGACTTTCTCTCTTGCTGCACCAGATTGCCATCTGCTGGCTGCAGACCGGCTATCATAGGCTAGAGAGCAACATGCCTGGGTCCCAATCCCTTCATGGAATCTTGAGAGATTCCATCAGTGGTGGTGTTTCCGTGGAGACCCCAGGGTTTAGCCCAGAGTGTGAGACCAACAAGCATCAATAATGCCCCAGGTTTAGCGCTGTGGGAGGGAGAAAGCAGATAGGTGAAAAGGACATTTGGATGGGCACAACATAATTGAGAAAAATAAGCTGGAGAGGTGGTAAGGGACTGGATTCAGTTTGAATTTTGTACTAAGGGCAATGGGAAATCTAGCAATGAATCAGATTCAGGCGTTAGTAAGATCATTCTGGCCCTTGTCAGTGCCCAGGGCTAGAACAGGTAGTTTAAGTGGAGGCGGAGTCAATTTGAAAAGCATTCCAGTAACAATGATGAGAATAACTGCTGGCATAGAATTTGGAGTGGCTGTGACAATATAGAAAAAAAAAAACTCTTTTTAGAAATACTTAGGAAGAGTAATCAATTAGGTTTGATAAAACCAAATCCCAAAGGGTAACAGCAGGAAAGGTAATAGAGGCCCCACCCATCTCATTCATTTCTCCTTTAGCAAATTCATGCACCTACTGTGTACCAGCAACTAATCTACTACTGAAAATATAGTGATATAAGCAAGTCAGGGGAAAAAAATGCTTTTCAGGGAGCCTATGTTCTAATGGGCATAATGGCAGGGTGGTGGGAAGAAGTAGGGAGGTACACAATAACTAAACAAATAAACAAAAAAATCAGAGGGGAATGAAAACCATCTAGAGTCAGGCATGATGGTGCATGTCTATAATCCCAACATCTCGGGAGTTTGAAGCAGGAGGATCACAAGTTTGAGGCCAGTCTAGGTAACTTGGCTAGATCCTATCTTAAAATATAAAGGGGCTGTAGTTCAGCATTTGTCTAACATGTGTGAAGCAATGAGTTCATTCCTCAGTACCACATAAATATAAATAAAATAAAATATAAAAAATAATTTTTCAACTAAGTAAAATAAAAATTTTTTAAATAAAGGGCTGGAAGTGTGGCTCAGTGGCAAAACACCCTGGATTCAATCCCCAATGCCAAAAAAAAAAAAAAAAAAAAGTAAAAAGGGCTGGGGATATAGCTCAGTGGTAGCATGCCCCAGCATCGGGGATTCTACAGAATTTAAAAGGTTGGTATAATAGTGGCTCTCAGATATAAGCTTGCATTCCTAGACCAAAAGAACAAGTGCAAAGGCCCATAGGGCAGAAGTGTAGCATGTTCAAGGTCAAATGCATCCAGTGTAGCTGGTGCAAGTGGGCAAGAGAGGAACAGAGGTGGGAGAGAGTCTGAGATCAGATTATAAAAATGTTCCTAAGGTGACTGCAAGGAATGTTAGGAATGAATTGGACTTCATAAAGGTCTCCGTGGCTGCTCTATGGAAATGAACTGTGAGGGCAAGAGAGGAAATGGGGTAGGGGCCAGTAAGGGAGGATGCTGGGTATAACTTGGAGTCAGGGTCCATTGCACAAGCTGATGGAATGAATGAGGGGTGAACAAAGAACAGAACCAAGAATGACTCCCAAGACCACAAGGACAGCCACTGCAGGAAATCTAAAGAGGAGGGAGTGCAGGAGGGAACTTCCTTGGTGATACTTCACCCCAACAGGAAAGGTCTGGGCTTATAGCCAGTTCCTGTGGACAGAGGGAGCATGCAAATTAAGCACTCCAGAGGTTCAGTTTCCCTGTCTACAAACTGGACCTGGCAGGCCTGGGCATAACACTGATGAACTAAACAGAAAGCACAGCAGGTAGACCGTCAGTGCAGGTCTGGCCTTGAGCACACCTATATGCCAGATTTTCCCATTGAGGGGAGGAGGCTTTCCAGGTGCCAGAATCATCTCCTCCACTGTTGCCACCACCAACCCAACCACCACCCACCACTGTGAAGGGCACAAGCTCCCCGCTACACACACACCTAAGGCGGGGATTGAACCCAGGGCCTCCTGCATAATAGGCAAGCACTCTGCTACTGAGCTATATGCCCTTTTAAATTTTTAGTTTGTGACAGGGTCTCACTAAATTGTTGAGGCCAGCCTCAAACTAGTAATCCTCCGGCTTCAGCTTTCTGGGTAGCTGGGATTACAGGCATGTGCCATCCCAGAGCTCAGCTTACCAAATGTCACTTCTAAATCCAATTCAAGGCAGTGTCTCCAAAGCAAGCCCCTTCATCCCCCAAGTCCTGGTCCTGAACATGTCTCATCAAGAGAAAAATGGTCACTTTCCATCCCCATAAACCAAAGAGGAAAATGGGAATAGGCAGTCACATCCTAGCAGAACAAATAAGACTGACCAAGGGCTGTGGGTACCACATCATTTTATTTCTTTGGTTTTCCAACTTCACTATTTAATAATAAAAATTCAGTCTTCCACCTGCCTGGCCCCCTTGCTGACCCTCATTGAAGTTGGCTCCGAGAGGAGGCTCAGCAGAAAGGCAGGGTCCCCAACAGCAGCCAGGCTGACAGAGGCTGGGAATCCCCAGCAGAAGAATCAGACCTTCCTCCCACCCCTTTCCACACTCTGTTTGGGACAGGCTGCACCTCAGTGGCCTTAGTGCCTCAGGGCCTTGGCTTAGAGGTCATCCATGACTCCTCCTGTGCGTTCCCGCTGCTGCTCATGTTGAGCCTGGCACCTTCTCCACTGGGGATATGAGGCAGAAGCTTGTCCCAGATTCAATTCTAATATTATTTTAGAAAACATCTTTGAGTAAAGAGGGTCCCACCCCCCAAAGAAACTGAAGGCATATATTCTGCCCATTGGGGACAGATGGCCATGCTATCATACTCCTCTTGCCCCCAGGAAAAGCTGAAAACAGCTTTAGCTACCTCTCTATACACCCCAAAAATATAGCTTTAAAGCTTCCAATGCTGGCAAGGGGGCCTGGCCAACCCACTTAAATCAAACAAAAACACAACAATACAAATATGACCAGCAAACAAGCAAAAAAGAACATCTGTGCTCCTACAGCTTTCTACAAGGGACCAGATGGCTGATTTCTGGTTCTCTGCCCTTAAACCAGAAAATAACGCAAATATGCTCTTTTAGAGTTAGGATAGACACTGTGGGAGCCGGAGCAAAGGCATCCTGGCCAAGCCAGGGGTCATCTCAGGTCCTTGACCCTCTCCAAACTGGTCCCTCTTCCTCCCCAGCCCCTCTGCACTGCCATCAGCCATCAATCAGGGTGAGGCCCTCGTAGAGTGCGCGCTTCCACATGTAGTAGGTGGAGCGGGCAGTGAGGGGGAAAAGGGCACTGAACTCCTTGTAAGAGGGGAAGCTCTTGGACTGGAATCGCTTCTGCAAGAATAACTTGGCCTGGGCCTTGAACTTTGTGGTAGTGAGCATGTCCATCACCAGCACCTGGCCATCCTTGCCACCTGCCACTGACACCACAGATTGGCTTGAGAGGGACCCACCATGGGGCTCACTCTGAGCTGTGGCTCCCTCTCTAGGGGCCTCCTCTTTGGAAGGCCCTCCCTGGGCCCCCTCTGGATCCTTTCCTGAAGAAGCCCCCAATGGCAGGGTGCCCACAGGTGGGGTCACTACAGTTGTCACATTCCTGCCAGCTTCTTTCTGTTTCTCCTCCCCTTCCTGCCCCTCTCTGCCCAAGGAAGAGGCCTGCCTCCGATATTTGGACAGGCCTCCAGGCCGACCCCGGTCCCTGGCAAGACTCTTCCAGACCCAAAAGAAGGAAGGTGACAGGCTAGGGTAGCGCAGGCGAAAGCGACAGAAGGGCAGATGCCCACTCAGCACCTGCTTGCAGGCGGCCCTGCGCAGGTCTCTCTGCCAGCGGGACAGGTGCATTCTCTGGGGCACGAGCTCCCGGGGTCGGGGGAGCTTCTCGCCTGTTGCTTTCCCTGTCCCCTCCCCCACCTCATCCTTCCAAGGGAGCAGGGCCCCTTCCCCACCAGATACTAGTTGGGGAGTTCCTGCAGCTGGGAGGGACGGGGCTGGCTTGAAGCTGGGGTTCCTCCGGAGGGCCTTTCGCCGCCAGTTGTAGTAAGTGGACCTTGAGATGCCAGGGAACCTGCGTTTGAAGCAGCGATAGGGTACCAGGGTGTTCAGGGAGATGCATTGCTCCAGGTACAACTTGGCCCGCTGCATTAAGACCATTCCAGGGCTTGCCACCATCAGTGGGGAGTGCCCCGGGCCCTCGGCAGCCCTCTGCCCTGGCAGCTTCTCCACGGCCAGCACCTCCTTTGGGGCTGGGGCTAGGGTTGAACAAGAGGCAGAGCCCAGCAGCTCGTGCTTCCAGGCATAATAGGTGGAGCGGGAGATCTCAGGGAACCGCTGGAGGAACTGCTGCAGTGGCACGAGGCCCCCACGGTGGAAGCTGTCCTGCAGGAAGTGCTTGGCGGAGAAGCGGGTGGCCACCTTCCGCCGATGCTCCTGGGACTGCCGCCGCCAGCGGTAGAAGGTGCTCTTAGTAATGCTAAAGCGATCGCCCAGGTGGGAGTAACTGAGGCCGGGGTCCCGGTTAAGCAGCTCAAGGGTCTTGGCGGGTGTGGCGGGTGGTGGCAGTGTGGCCTGGGCTGGAGGAGTGGAGGCTAGCCCCGGAGAACCATCAGCCTCCACCTCCTCCAGTCCTACCACAGGGGCAAAGTACTGGTGGCGGAAGAGGTGCCTGGTGAGGGGCTGGCCAGCCCACATGATGTGCAGTGTGGAGGGCATGTTGTCGCAGCGACGGGGTCGGATGACGCGGTTAAAGTAGGGCCGGATCTTGAGGTTGCGCATGGGGTAGATGGAGTATATGTTGCGCTGAAGGACGGAGGCGAGGGCGTACAGGTGCCACACATTGCAAAAGCTATTCGGGAAGCAGGTGGCCTTGACGTCCGCATCAAAGATGGCTTCCAGCGTGGCAGATGGCAGGCTGGTCATCTCGGGGGACTCCTCGGAGCACAGGGAGTAGCGCACGGCCTGCAGCATCACCTTGGAGTCGATCATGCCCTGGAGGTAATAGTGTCGGTGCAGCAGCATCTCCACCACCGTGCGAGCCCGCAGCTCCAAGCTGAGGCCAGCGTCGCCCCACAGCAGCATGCTGGCCGCCTCGAACAGCAGGCTGCCCTCGCCCTTGCACACCAGTGGCAGCATATTCTGTGGAGCATCCTCTGGGTACAGGCTCAGGGCCACCGAGTCCACCTCCAACACCTGGAGACCAGTGCCCTCCTTCCGGCAGGTGGGGAGAGTGAAGGATGACAGCACCTGCTTGGCCTCCAGGGCGGCACTAACCAGACCCTCCAGGCCCTCGGACTCCACTGCCTCCTGCAGCTCCCTCAGTACCTGCTGCACCAGCTGGTCCCGAGAAGTCATCCTGACAGGGCAGAGGACAGAGGGCAGAGGTTAGGAAGAAGTACCCACATGACACCTAGCAATGGTACCTCATCCACTCCTGTACTTTTCCCCTGCAGCTGGTGTCCATCTGTTCTCATTTCCCCACAGCAGGTAACAGCTACCTGCCTCCTTGGGTTTGTTTAGTCACTCACTGGTACTGAGGAAGAGCATGGTCCCTGGAACTTGGCTTTGAATCTTGGCTCTGATCTTAGCTTGGCCACCTTAGGTAAGCCACATAACATCCTATGCTTCTGCTTCCTTTTCTGCAAAATGGGGATAATACATAATTTATCTGATAAAATTGGGGTTTTTTTAAATTTTATTTTTCATTTGTAGCTGGACGCAATACCTTGATTTTATTTACTTATTTTTATGTGGTGTTGGGGATGGAACCCAGGGCCTTGCACATCCTAGGCGAGCACTCTACCACTAAGCCACAACCCCAGCCCTATCTTATAAAATTGTTATGTGCATAATTGAAATAATGAAAGTAATGAATGGAAATACAGATTTATATATACAGTCATCTTAAGAACAGTGCATGGCACAGAGAAAAGTAGCTATAATATATTGTTATATAGTATAATATGTATTATACAGGGCTATGGCTACAATACAGAAATAAAAGTGGTACTGCTATACTTGGTAAAGACTTGCAATCACATATCAAAATTGGTCTGCCTTTTCCTAGAATAGTGATTCTCACAGTAGGCTCTCATGACGCCTCAGCATTCTGAGACTATTTCAGAGGGTCTGCAAATTAAACTATCTTCATAACGTTACTAAGCTATAAATTTAACACTAAGGTATTATTTGCCTTTTTGCTATACTATCATTTGTATAAAATTGTGTTATCATGAATCAAAGTAATGCCTGTCATTGTTCTTCATTATGCACTCATTTAAGAAAAAAGAAAAAAATGTAAAGACTAGTTTCACTTAGGAACATCCTTAATGAAGCAGTGAAGATTATTGGTTTTAGCTAGGCATAGTGGCACACGCCTATATTCCCAGCAA